AAAAAAAACTTCAAAAAATTATTAAAAACAAAGAAAATGTATGCATTAAACTCAATCATCCAATCAATATCAGTGGATTTTATCCTCTATCCTGGGAAAAAATAAACAAACAAACAAAAAAACAAATCCAAAAAATAAAAACAAACAAAAATAAAAACAAACAAAAACTATTGGACACACAAGAACTCAGCAGATTCAGTCAAAACACAGACAAAAACGAGCTGAGTCTCAAATTTGAAGCTAATTTCACTTTTATTACTCTATACTTTTATTCTAATGCTGATTGTTTACACTACACTCAATCTTATTTCACTGTATTATTTTCACTTTTCAATCTTAGACTGTGTACTTTACTTTCACTATTCACTATAGTTTAAAACTATTCTAATCTATTCACAAATATGTTTGTATATTTGCTTCTATTGAGCCATATTCTTAAACATACATTTTAATCTAATAAATCTCTCTGTGGTATTATACTCTCATTATCAGTGGCTTATTGTTAGTGGGATTTTGCTCCATGTCTATTCTCATTCTCAGGAATAAAACTGTGAACACAGTAAGGCAAATGGTCAACATTTACACTTCTATAGTGGTCAGTGATTTATTACTTTTTATTATCTAAAGATATTATTGTCAGGCAGTTTGGGATGAATGTACATCATTAATCAAATTAGTATTATCATTACAAGAGCTAATCTATTTTAGCAGGTTTGGGGTTGGGGTCAGTTATTCTACAATGGTGTTTGTGCTGGAAACTTCTCAATATCTAAATATCTACTATTGTGTTTTTGTGCTATACACAAATGCATCAAAATGCTTTTAAATGCTTTTGAATCTCTGTTGGTTCTAATCTATCTCATTGATCTAGGCATTAATCTAGGCTACACTCATATGGACTTTTGCATTGTCAACATTCACTCATGTTTGAACACAAGTGAATTTGGAAGGTATCTAATAAAACTGTACATAAAACTGTAAGTAACTTTATCTACTTTTGAAGTAAATGCTTGTGAAATGGTCCCTTTACCATTTGATATTAGCACTGGCTACAAATAATCTCTATTTTTGAAAGCATCTATGGTTGATGCATTTATCTAATTCTATATTTCCTCTATTTTTTAACTCCAAAGCTCGGCTGCAGCTTGAGCAAAGGCATATTTCTAATTTGTGACTTCTGTCACTTTTAATGTCTCTAAAATACTCTGATTCTAATATTATAGCTGATCTATCAAAAGGATAACATTGTAGGGTACTATTTTAACTCTTACGTGGAAATATGTTTATGAACAACAAAGGAAGTCAAATTCTACTCTTTTACTACTATTTAACATCTACTAAAACGCTACAATACTCATACTTTATCATTTTCAAAGTTTTTAACAGTTGCTCAGTCTACCAGACTAAAAAAGTCAAAGTTTTTGTCTGTCAGATGTCTGAATACTTAACATGTATATTGCATTTGTCACAGTTGTGGTTCTGGTTGTAGCAATAGCATCAGCAATAGACGTTTTCATTGGCTGGTTCTTGTTCTGCAAATGGCTGTGTCCAATAGATCATCAGATGTCCAGAAGCTAGGGACAAACAAAAACAAAAGAAGAATCATGAGTATCTCTCTCATTTAGCACTCATCAATGTATGATTTCAAAAATATAAACATCACTCCCCAGTTTTCTCTCTCAGATCCTCAGATCCTCAGATCCTCAGGGTCCCCTGAGGGTGAGTCTCAGTCGTCATCAGGTCAGGTCATATTTCCAGAGATGTCATCTTGGACATCAGTAGGGTCCAAGCCATGGTTCTGGTCTCTCCAGTTGGACATCGGATCTCCAGATACAGTCTTTTCACTTGAAGCACATCAGGTCACTTGGGATGCACTTCTGGTCAATGGTGCAGTCTCACAGTTCCTGTACACAGCTTGTTATGCAATAGTTACTTTCTATGGTTAAGTCACTTTGATTCTACTTTAAAGACAATTTCTATTCATGCTGTTGCTAATGTCCCTTAGACAAAAGCAAGCGCAGTTTACTTCTCTAATTTGTGTTTTTATCAGATCTAATTCTCATCAATGTAATTACTTCACACAGTACAAAATCAACAAATCAAAAGTGTCAGGACAGACGTCAATTAAGTCCATGACAATATAGTATTCAAATGAACATTTCTGGTCTCAAAAAATACTGATTCAACTAAAGATTCAAGTGATAGACAATTAAAAATATGTGTTTACATTGGAGTAAACTTTTAAAATGCTTTTTCCTCATGTTCTGCTTTTTCATGTATCTATATGTAAATGTGAATGTGTGAGTGTATGAATGTGTATGTGAATTTTGGGGTTGTTTCTCAAGACTCCTCGAACCACCCGTAGGTGTCAAAGGTCACACTGTGGTGATGTAAACCACGTAGACACACTTTCAACTCCCTCTAGGTCTCTACCTGACGCTCCACCCATCACGTCTCCAGATACCTCTCTTTCATGGCCCCGGTCTCTCTCACACCCACTCAGTTCTGCAGTGGCGTGGGGAGGGGCAAGGAGGTGGCATTTTCCTTTGCTCTTTGATCCGTGACCTGTGGCTGGGTGGGCTTTGGTGTCCAGTGTCCAGCAGTGACCCTGTACAGTGTGTGCTCTTGGTTCTGGAAAACAACCTTATAGTCAAATTAAAAACAACAGAGATTGTGAATGAGATTGTTTTTCTTTCTGAAGTCAAAACAATTTGAGCGCTCTGGGTTTTCCCAAGCGCTATGTAAATAAAGATTACTTATTCTCTTACTAATGATGACATTTTAAAACCAGAAACTAAAGAAGTTATCAAAACAACAATTATACTCAAAACAAACAACCTTTTAAACTTTAAAACATGTATTATATACTTTTGTACTGTGTGATGTTTTTAATCTTGAACATCTTGGGTTTCACTTTATGGACTTTCCCTTTTACACTTATTTATCTCAGCATCTATTCTACTAATTTAAAATAATTGCAGCATTTTTCAAATGAAGTCAGTATGAATTGGAGCACATTTTAGACCAGGCTCCTGTGCTGCGTGCATCTGCAGCAGGAGGAAGGTCAGGTGCATAGTCAAAACAAAAACAAAAGTCACCACTTGAATGTGAATTGGGTGAATTGGGTAGTTTAACTTAATAATATAATACTTTTACAGCCTAATTCCCTCTTTCTTTTTTAGACGAAGTCTATAATCAATAATCACTTTTAACAGATTCTAATTTAAATGTTTGAAAAACGGCTTTTGTAACTAAAATAAAAAATACATGAAAAAATTCTCACAAACAGCTATGAAATATATCAGAGATACAATAATGGACTCACAAAATAAGCAGCAGATTTAAAAAGAAAAGCAAAGCTTTTTGTACTAATCTTTGGGTTTCAAAAACATACTAATTCAAAACTTCTATTCCCTAATGGTGTTTAAAAACGTTTAACTGTGTCTAACACAATGTTCAAATGGCAAATTTAGCAAATTTAACGGAATAACTACTATGAAAAGCCAAATTCCTAAAGCAGTAGCTTTGCTTCAGATTCACAGCCAGAGCAGCGAAGGAGGGGGCCGTTTCCCTGACAACGGCAGCAGATAGTGCGACGCACACACGCACAGGCAGAAAGATACAGAAGAATAACTTTCAAGATTACTTTGCTAAGCAAATATAACTGATGTTGTTCTTTAAACTTTTGTCATTTATCAGCCTGAAATTCGTCAATTTCAAAGCTTTTGTAACAAAGGCCTCTTTAACACATTTCCCTTTTTATAATAACTTTTATTTTTACACCATGGTTTCACTAACTATTTTCTATTCTCTATTCTCTGCCCCGGCTACTCCAAAGGCAGGGACCCCGATACGTCAGGGGTTCCTTTTTCTCTCTGTCCTGACTACTTCAAAGGACAGGGACCCCGATACGTCAGGGGTTCCTTTTTCTCTCTGTCCTGACTACTTCAAAGGACAGGGACCCCGATACGTCAGGGGTTCCTTTCTCTCTGTCCTGACTACTTCAAAGGACAGGGACCCCGATACGTCAGGGGTTCCTTTCTCTCTGTCCTGACTACTTCAAAGGACAGGGACCCCGATACGTCAGGGGTTCCTTTCTCTCTGTCCTGACTACTTCAAAGGACAGGGACCCCGATACGTCAGGGGTTCCTTTCTCTCTGTCCTGACTACTTCAAAGGACAGGGACCCCGATACGTCAGGGGTTCCTTTCTCTCTCTAATCTTATCTATAGATATTAGACATTTGGTGGACCTCAAAAAAGGACCATAATTTAGTTCACTCAATTAGCAGCTTTGAATAAACAGGTGTCCGCTCTTACCTTTTGTTGAACAGGGCGCCAGGCATTGTCAGAAGTCCACCAAATATCAGCTTTTCCACGTCCAACCAGGTCTCCAGATCATGAACCAGCTCTCACTAGTACCGGGAACTAGTTTCCATCGGCAGAGACCAATCGCACGTCAAAAATTCCCGGAATGTGGACATGGGAAAACAATTTTAAACGCTAAGTCCAAAAAACAGGACACAAAAAAATATAGTGAGACAGCGAAAAAGAGTCCCGGAGCCGGTCGCCTCTCCAGCCTGCTGGACCGCTCCCAGGCCCCAGATACTCTCAGCTCTCCCACGCCGAGAAAAAGAAAACAAAGAAAACTCCCTCAAAACAATCCAGAGAATGGCACACACGGAGCCGCGCATTCTCCACCAAATCTGTTAGGATTTAGCAGACAGAGACGGATCGTGGTGTGCCAAACTCTGGAAGTTTATTTAAGTTTCTCTCAAGTTCCACTGGTTTACTCTGTTTCTTTTCCTCAGACAGAATAAAGGCAGTACACAGTTTATATAGTCATTGTCACGTCACACATCGAAAGACATACGTGTCACAAAGAGACAGTCACATCATAGTCATAACATGGAGTCCTTGTAGAGTCCTTGTACAGTCCTGCACGTAGGCCATATTGCTATCTAATACTAATACCATGACAAATGGATTGTGTAGAACTTACCATAACTCTTCCAAAGTAGTTCATCATCTTTAAGTCTTTGTCCAGGTTCACGTTCGAAAGCATCTCCACGATCACATCGACTCCTTGGCCTCCGGTCGCTTCCTGAACCCAAACCACAAATATAACATCAAGAGGACTTTGCTTTCAAACTCAGTCTGACGACTGAGACACAACTACTTCAATTCAATCCAATTCAGTTTAATTGAGTATCGCCCTAAATCCCAACAGCAGTCGTCTCTGAGAACTTATCAGAAAAGGAAACAGTTCGAACACAGGAAACCCACTAATAACAAACACATAGGAACCAACTCAACTTTTTTAACTCATATACTGCATAAATATGTTTCTTATAGTGCTCTCAACATATCCTGGTCCATTTTTTTGACATTTTAATGCAATTTAGAAAACCGTCAGTTTGGTGCCCTCTCTACATTTTCAGTGGCACTACACTTAAATTTGGTGCCTGGCCTCTCCATTGGCACTGGAGTACAAAGTGATGTTGCTTTGTACAGCGTGACTTCTGTCTCTCTGCGCCTGTGGTATAAGCAGCCAAGTGGACTGATTACCCTCATCATATATCACCCAATATTCTTACTCTATACAGATAACAACATTTTAGCCCATGTACTAGCCAACCGAATTAAAAATACTTTAGTCTGTATTTTTGAATAATAGACATATTGTCAATGTGCGCATAGCTCTTGACTTATTGGACTACCCTGATCTTATCAATAACAATAGCGTCTTATTTTTTCTGGATTTTTGCAATGCATATGACACTCTAGAACAGTTATATATACAGTGCCTTGCGAAAGTATTCGGCCCCCTTGAACCTTTCAACATTTCGCCACATTTCGGGCTTCAAACATAAAAATATTAAAAAAATATTTTTTCTCAAGAATCAACAAGTGGGACACAATCGTGAAGTGGAATGAAATTTATTGGATAATTTAAACTTTTTTAACAAATAAAAAACTGAAAAGTGGGGCGTGCAATATTATTCGGCCCCCTTGCGCTAATACTTTGTAGCGCCACCTTTTGCTGCAATTACAGCTGCAAGTTGCTTGGGGTATGTCTATCAGTTTTGCTCATCAAGAGACTGGAATTCTTGCCCATTCTTCCTCAGTGAGGTTGGATGGAGAGCGTTTGTGAACAGCAGTCTTCAGCTCTTTCCACAGATTCTCGATTGGATTCAGGTCTGAACTTTGACTTGGCCATTCTAACACCTGAATACGTCTATTTGTGAACCATTCCATTGTAGATTTGGCTTTATGTTTTGGATCATTGTCCTGTTGGAAGATAAATCTCCGTCCCAGTCTCAGGTCTTTTGCAGACTCCAACAGGTTTTCTTCCAGAATGGTCCTGTATTTGGCTCCATCCATCTTCCCATCAATTTTAGCTATCTTCCCTATCCCTGCTGAAGAAAAGCAGGCCCAAACCATGATGATGCCACCACCATGTTTGACAGTGGGGATGGTGTGTTCAGGGTGATGAGCTGTGTTGCTTTTACTCCAAACATATCTTTTTGCATTGTGGCCAAAAAGTTCGATTTTGGTTTCATCTGACCAGAGCACCTTCTTCCACATGTTTGGTGTGTCTCCCAGGTGGCTTGTGGCAAACTTTAAACGAGACTTTTTATGGATATCTTTGAGAAATGGCTTTCTTCTTGCCACTCTTCCATAAAGGCCAGATTTGTGCAGTGCACGACCCATTGTTGTCCTATGGACAGACTCTCCCACCTCAGCTGTAGTTATCTGCAGTTCATCCAGAGTGATCATGGGCCACTTGGCTGCATCTCTGATCAGTCTTCTCCTTGTTTGAGATGAAAGTTTGGAGGGACGGCCGGGTCTTGGTAGATTTGCAGTGGTCTGATACTCCTTCCATTTCAATATAATTGCTTGCACAGTGCTCCTTGAGATGTTTAAAGCTTGGGAAATCTTTTTGTATCCAAATCCAGCTTTAAACTTCTCCACAACAGTATCTCGGACCTGCCTGGTGTGTTCCTTTGTCTTCATGGTTCTCTCTGCGCTTTAAACAGAACCCTGAGACTATCAAAGAGCAGGTGCATTTATACGGAGACTTGATTACACACAGGTGCATTCTATTTATCATCATCAGTCATTTAGGACAACATTGGATCATTCAAAGATCCTCACTGAACTTCTGGAGTGAGTTTGCTGCACTGAAAGTAAAGGGGCCGAATAATATTGCACGCCCCACTTTTCAGTTTATTTGTTAAAGTTTAAATTATCCAATAAATTTGGTTCCACTTCACGATTGTGTCCCACTTGTTGATTCATGACAAAAAATTAAAATTGTATATCTTTATGTTTGAAGCCTGAAATGTGGCGAAATGTTGAAAGGTTCAAGGGGGCCGAATACTTTCGCAAGGCACTGTATATCCAAAAATCAGGAAGTTACATACTTGGGTATTAATATAACTAAGGATGAGAAAGAATGGGGTAAATCAAATGTTGACCCCTTCATCGCCAAGGCTCGGAGCAGGTTTAACCAATGGTTGCAGAGAGATTCATCCCTGGCCAGAAGAACATTTAACAAAAGCGTAAGGCATCTCCAGGCTAATATACTCAGCAATGGCTCTTTATGTTGAACCAACAATATGTAAAACAATAGACCAAATTCTCTTTAATTTCATGCGGAAAAATTAAACAAATTCTATCAATAAATCTGTAATCACCAACTCTACGGAGGCTGGTGAACTAAACTTCTTAGATTTCTCTTCATTAGATTACACATTCAAAATAAACAAGCTGGCAACAGTCTATGGAACTTCATACCTAACCATATTTTCTACAAAACAGGAGGACTCATTTCTTCTCAGATCCAATTACAACCCAGGAAATCGTCCGTTTAAACTCACACACGCCTGTAGTGAGTTGTATTTCTGGCGAGATCTAGTGGCTTCGAAGTAAATTACATCACTTGACAGTCAGGCTGAGATAATCCTGTGTCTTAGGTTCAGGTCTCTAGCTATACAATTATCTTAGTACCTACAAAAGAAGAAAAAGCAACATTTTCCAATAAACTGTCTGAAGATGTTGCTACAATGTTGCTATGGTTTTGCTACAAAGCATATTTATCATGTTTAGCAACTCAACATGGTCAGACACAACGAGACTGTGTTCAAGACTGTTAGAAGCGTACCATGATTTTGTCTGTGTATCCGTCTTCCCGATGGTTGAACGCAAGATGAGCTCCATTCTTCAGAACCAGTTTGAGTCCCTCCGTAGTCCCTGCAGTTCCCAGAACTCTGAGTCCAAGAGCACGAGACAGTTGACATGCGGCGACACCCACCTACACAAGAGGTTTTCATAACGATCCATCAGACTGTTACCAAGGAAATCCACCATGTTTTTGTTGTAGCAGTGTGAGCAAAGAACACATCTATGTATGTATGTATGTATCTATTGTATGTATCTATCATCTTTCTATGTCCCCAAACCAACCAAGTAAACATCAGAAGACTCACTCCTCCACTGGCTCCGTGAATCAGCACTGTCTCTCCTGGTTTAGCTTTTGCTCTGGGAAATAACAGAACATTACTGCGTATTATCAACATGTCTACATTTGTATAATTCTGTCTTTTTACAGAGACTTTACCGGTGAACCAGAGCTCGATACGCAGTGAAATAGGGGATCCCAATGGCGGCTCCTTGGGCGAAGTCCAAACCGTCGGGAAGTTTATAAACGCAGTCGTCAGAGGCAACAGTGAATTCTGCGTAGCCTCCCGTCACCGTGGAGACAGCAAACACTTGATCCCCAATCTGAGATGAGTTTAAATAAAATATTTAAAGACCTTATGCCGGGTTTAAAAAAAAAATTATGTAGATATCAAAATTGCATGACAATGTCGATCTGAAACAGAATCCGGCAGAAAAAAAAGTTTTTCATGAATTTAAGTTGTCTATGCTCTAACCTGTGTGTGACGTCACAGCGGGTAACGCCCATGCTTTGAAAACCATGGATCTATGCCACAGGACTGCCTTTTCTCTCTTCTCTCCACTGATGCCCAACACAATACTGCACTCTACAGGTGACAATTGCTCACTACACATAAATTGCCGTTTTGAGAGTGAAAATGTGTCTGAAGTGGGAATTGAACCCCAGTATCTGGATTGGCAGTCCATCGACACAACCACTGGACTATCTCAGTGCCAACGAGGAGTTGCAATCTAGTATTATACTCGCTGTACACGGCCTTGTCATCTTGAATATCCGCGAAAAAAGAACGAATACCAAATTGTAAACTTACAGCGTTGAAACGTACCCACTCTGACGTCACCAAGGGCTGTGAAGTTTTTTCGTCTCTAAGGGCGTTGCTATGGGGTTATTTGGATTTGGGGGGGATCAGACAAAAAAAAACAACAACTGATTTTGAAACCTTTAGTAGTTCTCTTCTAATATAAAATGGTATTAAAACTGTATTTCTAAATAAATCAAACCCGGCATAAGGTCTTTAAATATTATAATCTGGAAAGGCTCAAGATCTGAATGATATTTATTGTTTGAATTACATTGTATCGAAATAAATTGTGTTAAAGAGCCATTCTAAGGATGGACACTGCAAATTAGCTAAGGCTATAAATGTTGTAGTGTTTCACATGTTGATTGCGTACACATGTCCCTTTCAAATAAATAAATAAAGCAATCAATAAAAAGTGATATATTGTAGCTGCAGGATTAGACTGTTAGACCTGAGGTATCTATCTATACTGCATGCGCATGTGTTCGGCGACCCCGCTCCCATCTCTGTGTGGAGTGAGAAGACAAGTGCCCAAAAAATAACAATTGTAAACCGCTTTGTGACTATGGTCTGTGAAAGGCGGTATATAAATAAAGCTTGCTTGCTTATCTATTGATCTACCAGTATCTATATGTTCCGAGTCAAAGAAGCTAATGGTGAGGTTATTAAAACCTTGTAATTAAATCATTTTGTGTCCAGTTGTTATACTCAGGTGCGGCCCATATGTGGAAATTGTTGTAGAAAAGAAAAAAAAGTAGCTTATCGTGCACCTTATAGTCCAGAAAGTACGCCACACAAAAAAGAGCTTTTAGATACAAGAAAGAAAGATCTGATATTAGCGAGGAAGGATATAAAAACAACAACAGGTATTTTTTTTATTTATTTTTTTTATAAAATGGAGAATTCCAAAGACTCAAAAGGTGATCCACCAAATAGTTGAGGAAATAGTTAAGCCTTTAAGTTCAAGACTAATACACAAACCAAGTTCCACTGTTTGACATTTTACTTAATTGTGTGTATTTAATATTATTATTTTGCGATTTGAGCAGCTGGTGTTATTGTTAATGTGCTATACAAATAAAGTTGACATTGACTACGACTTTAAAAACACTGTCACTGACCTTGAGGGCAGAGACCCCTTCACCGACGCCATGCACCACTCCAGACACATCTGACCCCGGCGTGTACGGCAGTGAAGGCTTCCGGGCAAACGTCCCCGTGCGAATGTACGTCTCCACAGGATTCACTCCACAGGCCTGGACCTCGATCAGGACCTGGCCCACACATTCATTTCAATCGTTAAAGGAAAAAACTAAACACCTGGCCCAGCCTTTTTCCACCCGCATGAACATTTCAAAATTCTCTTAAAAAGGGCATTGCACCACGGTCCAGGGGACAAGAAGGGGGGCTTAAGCCCAACGCACACCGAAACGCCTTGACGCGCGGCAAAAGAGCCGCCTCCTTTATTTTCTATGAGAGAACGCACACCAAGGTTGCAGTGACGCGCGGCGACGCTGGACCGGGCGCCACGATTCAATTTTGTTGAATCCAGACGCGGCGCCGCGGCTGAAACTGTCCCTCCAAGCACCCGTAGTTTTCTTCTTCTGCGCTTCTTATCACGTAGCTGTGAGCGCGGTCTCAAATTTACACACTTGTCGGCGCTATTGCTCAAGTAAACCGGTCACAATGGACGAGGAAAGCTTGATAACCCAAGTACAGCGTTACCCAGAGCTAGTTATTAGCCTGTTTAAAAAATGGGTCCAAATAGTCTTTTCTTGTAATATTTGCCAGCATAATTTCACGTAAATACTTTGTTTCCTCCCCCAAAATATTAGTAGAAACTTCCAAACGTCACTCACCCATTTCATCTGCGATCAGCTGGAAAAGGACGCTAGCCAAGGCGTTCCGGTGTAATTTGACACATGTCATGAACGCGCGTCAAATGACGCGCCGCGAGGCGCTGCGTTTCGGTGTGCGGTGAGCTTTAGAGTTGGCCAAGGTCCAGGCTGTGATTGACAGCTCGCTTGTCAATCACAACCCACTCAAAAAAAAATCTGAAAAAAAAAATCAATGTCACACAGCGACCAGAGCCAACGAAGAGGCCAGGTGCAAAATCCAAATGTAGTGCCACCAAAAATTTAGAGAGGGCGCCACACAGACTGTTTAGGCTCAAAAGTGAGATTTTATCTAATTTGCACAAAAATGTCAAAAAATTGATCAGGACATGTAGAGAGTACTGTTAGAAACATCTTCATGCAGTTTATGAGTTAAAAAAAGTTGATGTGGTCTTTAGTTGTCCTTTAAAGAGTCAGGAGTCGATCATTAAGAAATGTAATAACCGATTATGAATCAATGGCTCTATGTGTTTGTTATTAATGTATTTCCTACATTTCGAACCGTTTGATTCTCTGATCTGTGTTGGCGAATCCTCAACTTTGTCCTTCATGATGACTGCTTATGTGATTTAGGGCGATACACAAATTTGTTGGAGCCATTTGTCCATTTTTAGATTTTTGTTTAGTTGATTTGAGATTTCCCCACTTTGGGACAAAAACGTTTTCTTATCTTATTAATCTTAATTTGCATTTTATTGTGGTTTATTCCATTTAATTTAGGTCACAGGGTTAAATAGGGCTATGGAGGGAGGGCGCAGCGTTTTGAACATATGGTGCTGTTTGCATGTTTGCAAATGTGCATTCTAGGTGTGTTCATTTTACACACCTAGAATGCACATTTTGTTTGGACACCTAAATGCCTACAGTAGCCTTTTGATTTGTTTTGGTTAAAGGTTTAAGTTATGGACAAATTGCCACTACAAATGGAATTGAGTAGCCATGATAAAGTCACAATATGATGGCAAACAAATCAAAAATCAAAAAACAACATGTAATCTACTTTTCTAAACGTGGGTTAAAGATCTGTCTGCACTAACTGCAGAAAATAATTAATAATCACAGTACATTGGCGCTCTGAGGATGCTGTTAAAAAAGCCCCGATCGACTCATGCGAGTGAGTTGTTCGTGAGCAACAGAGTGAACACACTGAACTCTGTCCTGAGAAATTTTGTTTTAGTCGCCAATTGAACGAGTCTGTGAACCTGGTTGTTGTTGTTTTGGTGAATGCCAAGTTCAGTACAACACGCTGTATTTCTCAGTTCTGGGAACACTGGTACAAGTGTCTTTGTAAATGAGTCCTTAGACTTTGCTATTTTATTTTTATGTTTCTGTGTCTTGTGGTGTCCTTGTGTTGTCTCTTGTATGGACCTTGAGTCCGGAATAAAGATTATTATTATTATTATTGGAAAGAGTAAAAATACAAATATCCTTCAGTTGATGCAGCAAAACAAAACTGCTATAAACCTGAATCATCAAAAAACTTAAAATCATAGTTCAGCTCTAAGTTATAGTGACATGGTGGCACTGACGAAGGACCAGACAGGGTCTACTCTGATGTTCAAATCCAAGTTGAAAACAGTTCTGTTCAGCTGTGGATACAAGGATTGTAACATCACTCTTTTTAATGTACTGTGATTATGTATGATTCTAATGCATTTGTGGTTGTTTCTATCTTGTTTAGTTCAGCTCTCTGAGTTGCCTTGTGTATGAACTGTGCTATACAAATAAACATTTCCTAAATGGCAACCCGGATCACGGACTTTCTGATTGTTAAAAGGTGGAGGGCGGGACATCGAAGTGAAAACAATAACAAGATTTAGGGCCTGTAAAAGTAATTTTGGAATTCAAATATCTTAATATTCTAATATCTCGGCTGAACTATAGTTATTAGTAAAAGAGATATTCGAAATGAGTATGATTTGTTAATCCTTTTGACATATTAGGACCATTTAATGATGACTTGACTTGAAAATCTTACATGTTGCTACTTTAAGGTTTACATTTGAGTGGAATGTATGTATTGTTTTGTGCCACTGCCGTTTGATTGTAGGTTAACGAATACATAGATTAGATGTTGGTTATAGCTGAGAGAAATAAAGAACCCCTTTTTCATTTGGAGAACTGTGTCTAATCTTATCCTGGCTTCATACAGATAATGTAGTCACCTGTTTGGGCCCAGGTTTGGGGACTTGGACCTCGGGGCAGAGTTTGAGAACAGACGGAGCTCCGAACTCACTCACGCGGATCGCCCTCATCAGTCTCCCGCCAGACATGTCTCAACTGCAGGTGGAAAAAAGACAATAATAAGTTTAATGATGAGAGAGAGCGCGCCACAAACTTCACTATGCAACGGTAAATATCTGCGCATGCGCTGTGGACCTTACAGTATTCTGACTCTGATTTTTGAAGTTCTTTCTCTGAGGCGTAAAGAACAGGCTAGCGCCCCCTTGTGACGCTTGTATATTATTGTAATAATGTATAAAAGAAATCTTTATTTATATACCGCCTTTCACAGACCAGAGCCACAGAGCGATTTATGGTCTTATTATATAGTTTTTAATAGTAATAGTAATAATGACAGGATAATAATAACTTATAATTGTTCTTCTTTTCACTTCTTTAGAAATATTAGTTTTTGATAATGGATTAGAGGTCAGAACCTAGGAGGCTAATGTTAGAAATACTGACTTGACTTTATTTACTGTCCTTGAAGTCTGTATGTGCAGAAAGAAGAAAAACCAATAAAAAAGATTTAAATTATTATTATTTAAATATTATTTATCAAGATGCTTAAATAAAATACACATTACAGGGGCGTACCACCGTTTGGGAATATTTTGACTAAAATTTGTACAACTATAACTACTATTTATAGTCTATCTATGGGAATGACCAATAACTATACAATACTTAAATTGATCACAGGAAATTGTTTTCTGAAAGGCCAAAATATTATCGCTCATATGTTAATATAAGCTAGTTCAATATTTTTAACCTTTTAATGTTCACTCCTTGAGGATTATTGTATTTTTTTGTAGGACACTAATATCACATATAAGTGGTTTTTATGTAGTCTTTTAAATATAAATATTTATCATAGGCCTTTACCAAATGGTGAGCTGCAGTTTGATGGTTAAGTTTGATGTTATGTAAATGTGATCTACTATATACTCCACGAGGGGGCAATGTTGTGGTGCTTTTGACAAGCCTGGAGGGAGTTGGCACGTGTTATAGTTAGTTTTTGGATATTCATGTGTGGTTAACGCTGTTACTTGGTTGGAGCATCTCGGTTATTAAAAGAGACTCAAATCAACTACCATGAATCAGTGATTTCATGACATGGTGTCAGAAGTAACTCTTTTAACTGTGGAACAAGATTGAAGCAACGGTATGGCGAAATTTCAAGCCCCAGAGTCGTTTGACTTCACCCAGCCCTCAGCGCGGCCGACCCATGGATCTATAATAATAACTGGATTGGGTATTACTAGTTTATAACTGTACCACAAGAGGCAGAAGGAAGTCTCAGTCTGAGCCTGAATTTACAGATTAAACTGAAACATCTGGATTTTATTACAGGGGGAGCCCGCGGTACTGCAGACTAAATTCACGTGGGGGCTACCCAGAAAAAAGTCCCATAGAACCATAGACTGTATATATTTCATAGAACTTAATGTAAAGTAAAACAGCTCAACCTCAGCTGACAGAACCTACAGCTTTCAGAAAGATCGTATTTTGTGGGGATTTTAGTGTCCCTTGTCATCCTGAACTTTTTTTCTTCTTAAATCCTTCGGTTTTCTTTAAATCCACACTTTACTGCCACAAACTCTGCTCCTTTCCTTCCTGCTCTGACTCCACTCTACCGCTGCTCTGATCAGCAGCCAGTGTTGCCAACTCCTCAGTAAGGAAAGTAGCTATTGGCTGTCCCAAAAGTCGCTAGAAGTCGCTAAATGACGTCATCGCCTAATTTGCATAATTTGCCATTCGCAAATAACTGTAACGGACGCTGTAGGAGAGAGGAATAAGGTCGTGGGAGAGACAAAAGTGAGTAAAAACACCCTAAATATGTTTAGAACTACAAATGTACAAAAATAATTTCAACATTAACAACATTTAATGATTTTAATGCTTTGTCTAGATCCACATTACACACATCAGTTTTGTCCTGTATTGTTAAATGTTATAACAGCAAATGTAATCAAAAGATTGTTATGTAGGGTGAAATTGCTAGCTCTACAACCAACCCTCCTCCTTTATCCGGGCTTGGGACCGGCAAAGTGACCCAAAAGACACACTCTGGCAGAGTTACTTAGGTCTATTTTTGTAAGTTTTTTTTTTTTTTCATAGTTTGGCATAACAAATGATTTAATGTGACCCACTACTGAGAGAAAACAGAGTCACGGACAGAGCTGCCGCGGATGGAGTGGGGGGTAGTGGGGGGTGGCGGTGGTAGGAGTGGCCGGGGAGCTTTGGATGTGTGGTGGTGGTGGAGCTGAAGTTCAGTCTGCAGCAGCCTGAAAACTCCCTGTGCTTTTGAGTCTCCTCTCTCTCTCTCTGCTCCGCCCATAGACTGTAGCTGGGACTGCTGCGCAAGGCTACTGTGAGACTGGCCGCCTGTAAGTGCTTTGGGACGGGGGAGGGGCTCACGTTGAGGACAGCAGAACAATACGTGCTTCACGAGTCTCCAAAACACCAGATAAGTCGCCAAAACACCAGATAAGTCGCCAATAACACCAGAAAAAGTCGCTAGATTTGTCGCTAGTCGCTTTTTTGAAAAAAAGTCGCTATAGGGGTCTGAAAAGTCGCTAAATCTAGCGACAAAGTCGCTAAGTTGGCAACACTGTCAGCAGCTCTGATTGGTCATAGCGCGGCCGAGCCCCTCTGTGCACGTGCGTAAGAGCCACACACGCGTATTTTCTGCAGCCCATCATGGGAGCTCGTCCACTGCGCAGAACCGACAGGACCAGACGATGCCCAAATATAGGCGAGTTCTGATAATCTCCTGGTCTCCGTGAAGTCCCATACGCTACGGTCAGTGTCACTCCCGTTTTCATCCCAGAAACCGGATTCGTCCGGAAGTTCAGTTTGCGCATGTCAAAAAGTTTAATAAGTGGTGACTGGTTAAGTTTTAGGCTTCTGATTAAGATGGTTAAGTTTAGGGTTAAGGCTGGGTTGGGGTTATTTTATGGGAATGGCTGGTTAAGTTTAAGCATGAATAGGTAGTTTGTTATATTTACTTCCGCTTCTGTCCAGATTCCGTGACGCAATCTACTGCTGTATGCTCATTGGATCAAACTGAACTTCCGGACGAATCCGGTTTGCCGGACGAATACGGGAGTGACAGGCCCCGTCCCAATACTCGCACTTCCACCCTCGCGTCCCTCATTTGCGCGTTCCCGATAAAGTGTGCTAGTGCTTAGGGTGTCCCAATTCTCCAGGGAGGTCTTTGGCCCCGCCCCCTTTGCGCCCCTGATCCACACTTCGCCGTAGCCTGCATCTATGCGCACTCTGGCGAAGGATATTGCCCATAATTCTTTGCGGTACACACCAAAACGTCGGGAAAATGCAAATTTTGAAATATATATGCAGTATGTGTGTAAATAAGTTTTGCTATGTTACTTGGAAAGAAGCATAAACGTCTGATGAAGAATTACGGACATTTTGTTTTAACAATTTAATAAATTTTAAAGCAAGCGTTTATATAACATTCAATTTAAACTTTACACTTAGTACAATAATCTTAGGATGTATAAAAACTGACCAGATAGTTAGTTACCCACATTTAATATAAAATTATACAGCTATCTCTAATTAAAAACAACTAATATACATGTATTTTAACGTGTGTGAAGCAATTCAATTTGTTTCCCAAAGGATCAGACAAAGTTACCTTTAATGTTTATAAAGTTTAGGTCTGAAAATTACCATCTCTTGACGAGTCGATTACGTAACCTGCTCTCAGTGTGCACTGTCCCAATTCCGCCTTTTTTGCACACTTGTAACTTGCGCACTCCAACCCTGGTGTGCACTTCGAACAAATGCACACTTCGTAGAAGTGTGTAGGGTGCAGTGTGGGTATTGGGACGGGGCCACATTCAGCACTAGATCATAAAGGGAATCGGGACGGAAGCGGAAGTAAATATAACAAACTACCTATTCATGCCTAAACTTAACCAGCCATTCCCATAAAATAACCCCAACCCAGCCTTAATCCTAACCTTAACCATCTTACTCAGACGCCTAAAACTTAACCAGTCACCACTTAAGGACTTATTAGTCTAAAACTAATTCGAAAGTAGGATTGTTACTTCCGGTTTTGTCCCGATTCCGTATATGATCTAGTGCCGACCCATACGCTACTGAGCACAAGCCATTCGAAATTCAAAATTGAACTCAAGGACTATTTTGCTTCCCTTTTGTAGGAGACAGATCAGGGTTCACTGGGTGTGTGTGTGTGTGTGTGGCTGCACAGCAGGGGGCGGGGCTCACGGGGCAGGTGCGCGTGCACGAGCAGGGGTAAAAGTGTGCGTGTATCTGTCAGGCGAGTGATGAGTCAGGGCTGAGTGGGTAGCCGTATTTTTTGTTGACCGTTTGTTCGTTTTGTTCGTTTGTTTGCCTTATACCTCTTCTTTTGCTCACATCAGGTTCTATGTTGCAGTTCAACAGTTTATCATTTTTCCATACTTTGTTTGCTGCACCTTTTTAAGTCAATAAATCACTTTAAAACGCAATACCAGGATCAAGGATTTATTAGCATAGGCTTCAATACGCGTCATCACATTACAGGACCCACTCTGACCGGCTCAGAGGCTCAGGTCTGCAGGAAGCCGCAACATTTTGTCAACAAAAAAGGCACTGAATGAAAATCACCACAACGCACAAGAATGCAAAGAATCCAAGTCATCACGTCAAACGATGCAGCTAAGTGTCACTCAGAGCTACACCACGCCACTCACCTGGAAGCAGGTAGGCCCGAGCCTGTTTGTTTGTGGATAAAAGGAATCCGAAGATACGCTTCATCGTGCGTAATAAATGTGGCAATGAGTTTATGAATGAACGCTGGTGGTATCGCTCTTTTAATGTGACGGAATTCCTTCGTGAATTATTTGATGTTGATGGGACTGTGGCAAATGCGTGGCGTTGGTGTTGTCAAAAGGCCTAATAAAAGTTGAACTGTTTGGAATGAATATCTGCACTGTCAATGAATTTTAAATGCAATGTTCATGAATGAAATTTTGATGCGCACTTGATGCTTTTTATTGTTGGTCCACATGAA